TTGTTTCTTGGTGAGTCTAGCTAAGGGTCCATCAATCTTGTTTATCTTTCTGAAGAATCACCTCATTGCTTCATTGATCTTTTGAATTGTTTTTTTGGTCTCTATGTCATTTATTTCTGCTCTGATCTTTACTATTTCTTTCTTTCTACTTGCTCTGGGGTTTTCTTTTTGTTTGCTTTCTAGTTCTTTAAGTAGTGAGGTTAGATAGTCAATTAGAAATTTTTCTTGTTTCTTGAGGTAGGCCTGTAGTGCCATGAACTTCCCTCTCAGAACTGCTTTTGCTGCATCCCATAGATTTTATGTTGTTTTGTGTTCATTTTCATTGGTTTCCAGGAAGTTTTTAATTTCTTCTTTGACCTCCTTGGTAACCCATTCATTGTTCAATAACATGCTATTTAGCCTCCATGTGTTGAAATGTCTTTGCATGTTCTTGTTGCAATTGACTTCTAGTTTCATGCCATTGTGATCTGAGAAGACGCTTGATATGGTTTCAATCTTCTTGAACTTGTAGAGACTTAGTTTGTGGCCTAACATGTGGTCTATCTTTGAGAATGTCCCATGTACACTTGAGAAGAATGTGAATTCTGTAGTTTGGGGGTGTAATTCTCTGTAGATATCTATTAAATCCATTTGATCTAGCACTTCATTTAGAGCCTGTGTTTCCTTGTTAATATTTTGTCTAGATGTTCTATCCAGTGATGTCAGCGGGGTGTTGAATTCCCCTGCTATGATTGTATTGCTGTCGATTTCTCCTTTAAAGTCCTCCAGAAGATTTTTAATATATTTTGGTGCTCCTATATTGGGTGCATATATGTTTACCAAAGTTATATCTTCCTGTTGGACAGACCCTTTCAATATTATGTAGTGACCTTTGTCTCTAGTTATAGCCTTCATTTTGAAATCTGTTTTATCAGATATGAGTATTGCCACTTCAGCTTTTTTTCCCTTTTTGTTTGCTTTTAAGATTTTTTTTTTTTATCCCTTCACTTTCAACTTGTGTGAGTCTTTTGTTGTGAGGTAGGTCTCTTGTAAACAACATATATAGGAGTCATGCTTTCTTTTTTCTTTTTATCCTCACCCGAGGACATTTTTGCATTTCTCTTCAGATAGACCGGGAGGGAGAGAGGGAGGAAGACAGAGATAGAAACATTGATGTAAGAGAGACACATTGACTGGCTGCCACCCACACAACCCCAACTGTGGCTGGGGACAAACTGCAACCAAGGTACATGCCCTTAGAGGGAACCAAACCCGGGACTCTCTGGTCCATGGGCTGATGCTTTAACTGCTAAGCCAAACCAGCCAGGGCTAGTTATGCTTTCTTATCCAATTAGCTACTCTGTGTCTTTTGATCGGAGTGTTCAATCCATTTATATTTAAGGTTATTACTGATATATACTTATTTTTTGCCATTTTTTTTTTAGTGTGGTTCTATTTTTCTTCCTGTTTTTTCTATTAATTACAACAGTCTTTTTAACATTTCTTGCAGTGCTAATTTGGTGCTAATACATTCCCTTAGCTTTTTTTTTGTCTGGAAAGGTCTTTATTTCACCTTCTATTTTGAATGATAGCCTTGCTGGATAGAGTAGTCTTAGATTCAGATCCTTGTTTTTTATGACCTTGATTACTTCATGCCATTCTCTTCTGGCCTATAGTGTTTCTGTTGAGAATTCAGGTGATAGCCTTATGGGGGTTTCTCTGTAGATAACCTGTTGCTTATCTCTTGCTGCCTTTAGGATTCTCTCTTTGTCTTTAATTTTTGGCATTTTAATTATAATGTGTCTTGGTGTGGGCCTGTTTGGGTTCTTCTTACTTGAGGCTCTCTGTGCTTCTTGAACTTGAATGCCTTCTTCCTTCACCAAGTTAGAGAAATTTTCACTCTTTCTTCAAATATATTCTCTAAACCTTGCTCCTTTTCTTCTTCTTCTGGAACTCCTATGATGCAAATGTTGTTGTTTCCAGTTATCCCACAGTTCTCTTAAGCTGTCTTCCTGTTTTTTCATTGTTTTTTCCTTTTGGTTTTCTGATTGGTTGATTTTTTTATCCCGACTTCTCATTCACTGATCCAGTCCTCAATTTCCTCTACTCTGCTGGTTAGTCCTTCCAATGTGTCCTTTATTTCTGCTGTGTCATTCTTCATTTCCACTTGGTTGGTTTTCAGTGTTTCTGTATCTTTACTCATGGTGTTGAGGTCCTTACTCATGCTGTTGAGCTTCCTCAAGATTATGGTTCTGAACTCTACCTCTGATAACTTGCTTAACTGTTTTTCATTTATCTTATCTTCAGTAGAATTCTCTTGTTCTTTCATTTGGGAGTTGTTTCTTTATTTCACTATTTTGGCTATCTCAGTGGGTTTTGGAGCCTGCCAAATTTTCCCTGTGGATGTTGGTCTTCTGCTGTTTGTGGCTCCCTCTACTGGGTTTATATGAGTGTGGGAGGACCCATGTTAAACACCACTGTCAAGTCTTACTTTTCTGGGTAGATTTCCAAGCCCAGAAAAGGTTCAGTTATCTTCTAGCTTTTTGCCTGGATGCTATTAGTCTCAGTTACTTGATGAGCCTTTGGTTGTAGCCCTCAGCTGAATGAAAAACTTCCTCAGGTATTCAGCGTAAGAGGATTTCCAGAGGGTGGGGAAGATGCTGGTTGTTAATGAGCCTCAATTTGCATTTTCTGGCCCAGCTGGGTGGGATTAAATCTCCTAGGGAGGGGCTGCTGCATTTTTCCAGAGCTCTGGGAAGGGGCTCCCCGAGCAAAATGGCCACTGTCCTGTGTGGCTGTAACTCAGCACAAATTCTGAGCGCCCTCCAAATCCCTAGTGTCCCCACACAGTTCCATTCCAGTCGGCCCTCCCTCTGCCGGAACCCAAGGTGAGTGGCTGTAGCTAATTTAGTGCTCTGTCCCGGCCCTCTGTGCTGTGGAGCTGGCTTGGGATTTTAACCCCGAGGGAGCTGCTCACAGCCAAGACTGCTGCTGTCTGTGTGCTCCCAGCCCCCCTCTCACACCTCTGCAGACCTACCAGGCTCGATTCAGTGTCCTTTTTTTCTTGTCCCTGGTTATATGGGTCTTCTCCAGCTGCTTTTCTGTTGCTTTTTTCCTGATGATTTGTCTTTTTTTCAGTTGTAATTTCAGTTTGGTCCTGGGAGATGGTCTGTGTAGCTTCCATTTTGGGATTTCTGTCATAGTTATTGTAAATGTCTGTATGATAATTCTAATATTGTGTCCATCTCTAATACTGTTAACTGTGTTTTCTTTTGATCGTGTATCACATTTTATTTCTTCTTTTTCTAAGTTTTTATTTTACACCAGACTGTGTGTGAAAGAGCCATGGAGACCACAAGAAATAATGCTTACCTTCAGAAAAAGGCAGAGTCCTTCTTCTCAGTTACTAATATGAGCAGGTGGTGTGGGGGTGAGAAGAAACTATTAAATCTTCAGATGATCTGGTTCTGGGTTTTGTTGAAGCTTTACTTAGATTCAGTTCATCACTGGGTTGGAATATTTTGAGGCTGATTTAAGATACCCTTCAGCAAGGCATGGGAGACGAGACCCAGTGACTCTCTAGACAATCACTGGGGGATTTTTCTCTAGTTGACGGCTTAACCACAGCTACTTGACTTTCTGGGGTGTTCTCTTTGATCTCTGGGCCCCAGTTTCTCTCCATTGTCAACTGCTGCCTTCATTCCATGGAAGCCTGATGTGCTGCAGGCAGACTCCCTGAGTTCGCCTGCCCTGCTCCAGGCTTCAGAGCACAACCCTTTTTGCACGTGGGACACTCATAGTGAGCGTCATTATGTAGGAAAGAGAGCAGCCACGAATATCTTCTCTCATAGGAAGGGCTTGTTGTACTCTAAAATTTAGTTTATTTAGGGTTCTTTTTCATGTCCTCAGCTCTCAGACTTAAAAAACAACAACATTATAATATTGTAGTTATCTAGCTTCTTCTTTTTGTTAGTGCATGTATGACGATATCTTGTGTCTTTCTATGACTAAATTAGAAGTTCCTTACATTTGCTTTTTAGTTGGTAAAATATATGATCTGATTATTGGTGTGTGTGCACATGTCTATGTGTTTTGGGAGTCAGTGTTTGGAAGAAGCTGTATCAGAGATACTTAACCAAATATCATTGGAAACCAAAAGTGAGTGTAGCCTTTCAATTATACTTATTTTCTGATAATTAAGCTGCATAAATCTTTGCTGGTTAACTGATACAATTATAAATAAATATTGAATAATTTAGTGTCTGATAATTTAAACTATTTCTTATTGTTTATACTCTAATAAGCACAGTTAAATTATATTCTTGTGGTACATCACCATGTCTTCATTGTGTTATTTGTCTCTGGTCACTTCTCTTTGACTTAAAAGTTTAGCTCTTTCAGCTCCCCCTTCTCACACATAAAAACGGCTAATCATGCAAAATAAGAAGACGTGAAGGGACTATAAAAGTTGTAGTATTGTGGTGTTAAGATGATTGATTTATAAGTGATTTTCTTTTTTTTTTCTAAGTGTTATCCCAAGATTTTTCATGACAAAAGCAATTAATGTATGGAATTTTAAACTCAGAAATATAAATAGGTGGCCCAGTGAAATGTACTGTATTTTTGTTAACAAGACCTGAATTCCATTTTAAACAATGTGTTATATATTTATCTTTTTTCCTACCTCATTTTAATAGTTTGACGAAGTAGTAGCAGTGACAAATAAATTACCTCATAGCAAAATATTTTACTTATTGTAGTCTTTAAAAGGATGGTTTTCAAAGGGGAAAAGAATCTTTCAACCTCCAGATGTGCTCTAAAACAAGAATCTTGATATTTGCAATTTAAATTATATTCTTTCCTTGAAAGCAGTGATATTTTTAGATGTGCTTTATTTTAATTTCTAATTTGTTTTTCGGATGAAAGGAGGCATTTTTCTAGGTATAAATGAATGGAAATCAAATGTGATGGGAAAGAGTCACCATTTGATTACTCGCATGCCATTGGCTTCCTGTTTCTAGTGTTACGGCCCAGCAAACAGAACCAGAGCATCACGTACACAGTGTTACTGTTATTTTGGGATTTCTGTGGTCTGGCCTGGATTGCTCTTCTATTTAATTTGATAACCAGATTCTTTTATGACATGGAATTAAAGCTAAGTAAGGACTCAACTGAAATAGAAGTTGGAAAAGAAGAAAAGAAGTCCGATGCTGAAAAGCAATAATGCTGAGTAGACTTTCTGCATGCAAACTGCAGAGGGTTCCACAGAGCCCTTCCAACAGGGCCAGACCAGGAAACAGGACCAGGAAAACAACCAGCTGTTTCTCCATAAACCCCTCATGTGAGTTGCCTTTCCACATCAAAATCTATTTCACTTCAATTGTCACTTAGAAAAGTAATTTTAAAATCTAATATGTATCTCAACTTTACTTGTCCACCTTCCTTCCCCACATCAGGCTCACTCCAGGTTGGATCCACACCGGCATTTGTGTAAATAGAAGCTTATGCTGAAAACTGTGTTTCCGTGTTTTTTCTACCATATATGTCAATAAAGGTAGGCATGTACAAAACTATGGAGTTATTTTCCTTGGGTTCTGTTTCTTGTGCACATTGTTTCTAATGATCGATCAAGTGTTTCTTAAAAATGCATGCATTTTCCCCTCCCAATTAAATAAGTGAGGCTCTTCTGATTTTCATTCAAGTCCAGGGCTCTTTATTGTGTATTCACAAAGCTCTTCGTGGTGAACATGCCCAAATGCCACCCAGACTGCTCTCTCTTTTGTCTTTTGCTGCCACGTGCAGCAGAGGTTCTTGTCCTGATGCCAGTATCCTGAGAGAAATAATCTGGATAAATGAACATGAAAAGCGGTAGCATGAGAGCCCAGGCCAGATTCACCCTAGGCCACCCCATCGTCCTGGGGACATGTCTAGTTCCAGTTACAGGGACAGAGCAGGAAGAACCAGGATTAGCCCTTTGGATAGGAAATGTTTCTCAAAGACTTCAAGGGATTAGTTGCAGAAGGGCGACCCCAGAGAGGAAAGGAAGTCTTTTTAGCCACTACGCACACAGGCCTCCAGCAGTTTGATCAGAACGTAGTCAGAGAGGAGCTACTTTGTACTTTCAAATGGTAAATAGGATTTACAGGTTATACACTGCAGATTAAAATAGCTGAGAGAACATACTTCAACTCAAAATGTTGGTTTGGGTAAATGTAGTATAAATCATATAAAATGGCATAATAAAACTAAATAAATGAACATGTTACTTTTTTTACATTTCAATTAGAGTGATAATGAATTAGTATAGCCTTTTTGTATAAAATAGACAAATAGAAATGGTCCAATTAGTTTCCTTTTTAATATGCTTAAAATAATCAGGTGGATCAATTTTTCACATTTTTTTTCTTAATTTTTTTTTCTTTTATTGATTTTAGAGAGAGAGGAAGGGAGAAGGATAGAAACATCAATGAGAGAGAACATTGATTGGCCGCTTCCCACATGCCCCCCACTGGGGATCCGGCCCACAACCTGGGCATGTGTCCTGAATGGGAATCCAACCGGCAACTTCTTGGAGCATGGGTCAATGCTTAACCACTGAGCCACACCGGCTGGGCTATTTTTCACATCTTTGATCAAAAATTTTATTTGGGCCCTGGCCAGTTTGGCTCAGCGGTTAGAGCGTCGGCCTGCGGTCCGGAGAGACCCGGGTTTGGTTCCCGCTAAGGGCACGTACTTCCTTTGCAGTTTGTCCCCGGCCCTGGTTGGTCGTGCGGGTGGCAGCCACTCGATGTGTTCCTTCACGTCGATGTTTCTCTCTCTCCCTCCTTCCTCTCTCTCCCTCCCACTCTATCTGTACAAAAAATGGAAAAGTATCCTCGGGTGAGGATAAAAAAAAAAAAAAAATTTTATTTGGGATATGTATGGGTAGGGTAAATCAATAAGAGGTCTTATTTGGAACCTTGTTTTGGACAGTTTACCAGTTGCTTTTTATCCCAAAGTTGTTATAACCTGCTGTGATATGATGCTTCAAGAGAAAATGCAGTTATAGCAATGGTTCAGAATTAAAATTTTAATTTATTAAAAAAGAATAAATACCTTACCACCACCACAGGAGCAATAACATAATTAAAATTAAAAGAGAAATAGAAAGTATAAAGGACATAAGAAGTCAAGGCTATGTTAGTAAGCAATAAAAAAAGAGACCAAACCCTGGATGGTTTGGCTCAGTGGTTAGAGTATCGGCAGACCAAAGAGTTGTGGGTTTGATTCTGGTCAAGGGCACATACCTCGGTTGGGTTCGTCCGCGGCCCTGGTCTGAGTCATGCAGGAGACAACCAGTCGATGTGTCCCTCTCATGACGATGTTTCTCTCTCTCCCTCCCTCCCACTCTATCTGAAGATGAATGGAGGAATATCTTTAGGTGAGGATTTTTTTAAAAAAGAGACCAAGTACAGATGTAGGGGCTTACCCCTCCCCACTCCTCCCTACCTTACCACCGCAACAGCAGCTGGTTCCTAGAGTGTATCCCTTCCCAAAGCTTCAGACTTCCTGTTTGTTTGGTTTGTTCAAGGCAGGCTTCCTCTGTATGGGCGGGGCCTCACGATGTGGGCGGGGCCTCTGGCGTGTAAACCTTCGGAGGACAGAAGCTGTACTTCCAGACACTGTTTGGCCACCTTTTCCTTCTGGCTCCAGCAGGTATAGGAAACCTATGCCCAATTCCTTCTCAGGTGGTATGTTCAGGTAGATGTAAGTTTTGTGCTTGCTACTTTAATTTTTTAAACTATGTTATTTCATTTTATTAAAGAATTTCCAATTAACTTCATCATGTGTGAGTCTGGGTTTTCATTTTCCCATGTCTGATGAAACCCTAGCTGGTTGGTCCCCAAAGCCAACACTTAGGGTAGCACCATTTGTTTTAACAGCAGCTACTTGTATGTAGATATTATATCTAAAAAGATAGAAATGTCTCTGAAGGACTGGCCTGAAGAACAAATACTTATAAAGTAAGTGCTGATGTTACTGTCGAGTGTCTTTTCCTTGGTGCCCCCTACTTTTTTAACGTAGGAAAGTGCCGTGGACACTCACCCCCTTAGAATTGTGAATTTGGCCCTGTTCGTTGGTCATTCTCTCTTATTTTGTCAAAGGCAGCTGCTTCTACAGTTATAAACACCCAGAGATCTACTCAGGGATCTGTGTTCCCATGGGCAGGTCATAGATGATTGACACTTGAATGATGGGGTTGAGGTTGAAAATAATTTTTCCTCACAGCTTTGATGATATTGTTCCATATCCTTCTAGCACCCAGTTTTGAAGATATTTTTCCCCCCTGAAATTTTACACTAATGATTCAATATATGGGATGTTCATTTATTCACTGTTCCAGGCCCTTGATGACCCTTTTAATATGCAGAGTTGTCTTGCTAAACTCAGAGACTCTGCCATGTCACATTTTCATACCGGAACTCCCGTTACTGGGACGAGAGCCCCTAGGCTAGAGCCCCCAGATCTCACATTCTCCGTCGAAAACTCTGAGTCTGTCTTTTTGCTCTACTTCATAGACTATTTTCTTGGCTTTATCTTATAACCCTCTATTCATTTTTTTGGTTTGAAGATCGTTATTTTTATGTCCAAAGGCTAGTTTTTAAATGCGCTAGTTTTTTTCCCTATCATCCAGTCCCTGTTTTTAAGAAGAGATGTGTCCATGAAGATTCTCAGGAGACGTCTCCCTTTTTCCGTGAACTATCTTGATTTCCTTCAGACTGGTCTTTTTCTGATTGTTTATTTTGGTCTCTCATTTTAGAAACTAACCTCTAATGCTATGGCCTTAAGATGTTCATTAGTATTTGGGAATGCACATGGATAAAGCTGTAGTAACTGCTGAGTTTTGCTTTTATATAATCAGAGGGTAAGCCGGCTGTTATGCTAGGAGACCTCTAAATGCCGGAATGTAAAAGTCTTTACTTCTGGGGCACTGAATTTCTTCTGAGAAGTAGATATAGAATTAAAATGGTAAATGTAGATTACAAAGAAGATACATTCAAGAAGACAAAACCTCTGTAATCATTTTGAAAAATTATCTTCTATCAAATGCTATCTGCTAGAGCTCAGCATCTGTTTTTGAGAAAATACTTTATAAGCTAAGCTAGGAAGAGATGGAAATCCCTTTTCTTGACAGAGGGTATCTTTCATAAATAACCATAAATATACCAGAAAGAATTAAGTTGCCTTTAACTACCACTTAAACGTTATTCTGAAGGCATTTGATGCAATAAGATAAAGAAGGAGTAATAAATTCTAGAAAGGATGTCAGACATTATTGTTTCCCTAGAATATCTAAGAAAACAACCAAGAAACCTTATCAACCAAGAACAACTAAAACATTAAATCTAATGGGAGTCAACCATAAGAGTGCCAAGTTGGAATAAAAATAAATATTCAAAACCTAATTCCTAACATACCAAAATTTATTTTAAAATATAAGGGCAGACCAAAAATGTTCATCTCCTGTCTTTGTCAATACTCTATTCAGGTAAACCAGACTGATGAAGAAAAGGGGCCATCAACAGACAAGAGCTTTCAACAGATTTCTGGAAGAGAATTTCTAGATGATAACATAGGAGAAAATCTGGGTGACCTTTGATCTGGAGATGAGTTTTTACATATACAACATCAAAAGCAGGAGTTTTTACATACACAACACCAAAAGCACAATCCATGAAAAAAACATTTGACGAGCTGGACTTCCATTAAAATTTAAAACTTATGCTCTGACAAAGACAATATTAAGAGAATGAAAAGACAAGCCACAAGCTGGGAGAAAATATTTGCAAAACACATATTCAATAAAGGACTATATGCAATATATATACACACACACACACACACACACACACACACATATATTAAAACTCAACATTTTAAAAATAGACTAAAGATCTGAACGCATACCTCGTCAAAGAAGATATACAGATGGCAAATAAGTTTAGGAAAAGAGGCTCAAAATTAAATGTCATCAGAGAATTGCAAATTTAAACAATGATTAAATAAAACTACACACCTATTAGGATGGTTTACATTCATAACACAACACCACCAAATGCTGGTGAGGATGTGGAGCAACAGGAACTGTCGTTTATTGATGGTGGGGACGCAAAGTAATACAGTCTTTGGAAGAGAGTCTGGCAGTTTCTTACAGAGGTAACCACAGTCATATATAGTAGAGCA